TAAGATCTCTCTTCCTGCTGCAATGTATTCTCTTGTCATAACTTAATGCCATTATGTTTAATAATCCACTATTACCTTTCATTTATAAAACTATTCAATTGTCTCTTGAGCCTATACATTGTTGCACTGGGTAGATTCTATGATCCAACATAATCACTATTCAAAGAGGTAAAGCATGTTACAAGGAACGGAATGCACTTTTTGAAGTTACTTGAGAAGGAACTGAAGGTTAAAAGTTTCAGTCAAACACCACAGTGGAGATAAAGATTCTACAGACTTGGCAACAGAGAGGGGAGTCAGCCACCTGGAAGGGCTGCAGCACACTACCTTCCTACTTCCTACCTGCACCTCCATGTATGCTGTGATGAGCCAACACTTGCCACTGAGAATTATCAGAAAAATGGAACAATGTTTACATCCATATGTAACATAGAAGCGTTACATGATGTAGCCACAGATTTAGAAGTTCGAACTCCAAGACAATAAAACTTGTCACAAAAAATAATTAAACAACAATTTATTAATGAAGAACAGCAAAGAGAAGCATAAGGAGACAGTTACATCACCAGATGAGACAGCAACAACACCCAATCAGAAGCACTGGGAATCCCGAAGAGAGCAGAACCTCGTTGTTCTCTGTTAGTAAGCTGTTGTTTGATTGGTTTTTGGGAGAGGTCTTTATTGTTTTGGAATTTAAACCTATGGCCATATCACGTAATGCTTTAATGTTACAAATTGGTGCTGTGAGTAGAATTCTAAGACAAAAATAAAGTCTATACAATGACCCTTAGGGTTTTGGTCCAGAAAATTACCAATGTTTGTTGTTTCTTATATTCCTTTTGAGCAATAACCCATAGCAGCTTATTGGGTATTAGTAGAAACTGAGCAAATAACTTTGGGCCATGAGGTGTTTTAATACCAGGCATTCCTATAATGCATCAGAAAATGTATATTCCAGCATCTCATAAAATTGGGCACGGTCAAGAATCTAGTACTCATACTCTACTACTAAAGTTACTCTAGAAATTACTGAGGATAATGGAAGTAGTCAATTAGTCAAATTAAAGGCTGTTCATCAAGCATTACAACATGAAGAGAGAAACAATGTCATATTTGTACCAATTCTTGGGCTGTGGCAATTGGCTTAACCACATAGATGCTGTTATGGAAACAAAATGACAGGAAGATTCATGGCCACATCACATTATGCCTGAACTTTATTTACACCATATGAATTTAAAAGTTAAAGATTATTTTAGGTTTTTTAGAAATGTAAAACAAGTTTTGGTTTTTAGAATTATAAAAATTTTAAAATATTTAACAGTATTCTGATAAATATTCAGTAAACAAAAACACATTAAGAAAATTCAAATCTCGGATATTTACTTCAAAAAATCACAGCTAAGTCTTAAATAAGGATTGAGGGTAAAGGACTTCACATCTTCTCTCCTGTATCTTTTTGAAAGTTTTTTTGGAGAATGATTTTGAATACATTTTTTAGTCATAAATGCTATTGGAACACAAAACATGAGAGCTAATTCTAAAAGTAAACATATATGTATTCTAACATATCAAACACAAATAGGTTAAAACATGATATGGAAAATGTTTTCCATTCTAGAAGAGGCACTTCATCTAATTCTGTTAAATGAAAAAAAAATGCTAGTTAACTGAATACAAACTGATAGGTTGGTCTAGTCCTTGAACCAAAAACCACCCTGTATATTTTTTCTATCCATTCAAAAAGAATGGATAGAAAAAATTCAATTCAAAAAGAAAAGCATCACTAGACTTCATAGTAATTTTTTGCCTCTGACCCAAATGACTGATTTTCATGTTTTAATGAACAAGTACATTTCATTTAAAAACATGATTTAAATCAAATGGTATTAAATGCTGCACATAATATATCTGCCCATGTCTTCCAGCCTATAGTTTCTCACCTAACACAGTGAACTTAACTCACACACAGTTCTTAGTTCTTATTTTATTTTTTCTCTAAGACAGAGGTGACAGAGAATATTTGCACAACTGATGTTACTTATATTCATAGCCACTGATTCAAAAAATCCACAAGCAAGTTCAGAGCAAGAAAGGGAGCCCCCTAAAGAGCTGCAGAGTGGAGAAGACATTATGAGTGTGATGTGCAATTAGTATTCTGGCTATCAACACCCTTCTTCCCTCTCCCAAAGGAGAAAGCATATGGAATACAACTGCATGAGAATACTGACTTTCTAAACAACATCACATCAGCTTTAACTCATTAACAAACACAACAGAAAACAATCTCAGATTTAGAACATTATTTTAGTCACTAATTACTTACCACACAATTGATAGCAAAATACCATTTTTCAACACTTCATTTCAGAATCAGTACCCTAAAAGCTAACCAAAGTCAACTAATATCTTAATGTCAACAACAACATACATTAACACAGTTAATCTTATTGATGAGAGAGAACCAAAACTGCTTTCAGGTCACTTATTTTCACTTTTTTTTTTTTTTTTTTTTTGACAGGCAGAGTGGACAGTGAGAGAGAGAGACAGAGAGAAAGGTCTTCCTTTGCCGTTGGTTCACCCTCCAATGGCCGCCATGGCTGGCACGCTGCGGCCGGCGCATTGCGCTGATCCAAAGCCAGGAGCCAGGTACTTATCCTGGTCTCCCGTGGGATGCAGGGCCCAAGCACTTGGGCCATCCTCCACTGCACTCCCTGGCCACAGCAGACAGCTGGCCTGGAAGAGGGGCAACTGGGACAGAATCCGGCACCCCGACTGGGACAAGAACCTGGTGTGACGGCGCCGCAAGGCGGAGGATTAGCCTAGTGAGCCGCGGCGCTGGCTTATTTTCACTTTCAAGTGGTTACTAAATTTTCTTGTTATCAGTCACTTCGAGGACACTAAAAGTGACTTCAGACCTTCCCAATCTGCTTATCTCATCTTTGGCATATCTTACAAGGGTTAAATTATATTTCTGTATAATTACTATCCAAACACAAAAAGTCACCTTAGAAAAAACATTTTAAATTACCATTGCAACTAGAAACAATTAGGATTAGTCTCCCAAAGTTTTCTTCCACTTATCCATACACTTATATAACCCTCGCTCGGTCATTACACTTTTATCTAAAGTTGAGTCAAAGTGTCTGATCCTTTAGTGACAATAATAGTGGACTCTCAATACGCATGAAGAATATTATTTTATTAGAGACCACAAGAACTTAATTTTAGAAAAACTATATGGGTAAAAATTTTTCTACAAACATATCTAAAAGTAACCAATATCAACTTATCCTGTAGTTACATAAAACAGATATGACTAGCTTTAAGAAAATCTAATGGGTGAACAGCCAAGTTTTAAATGGATTAGATAATCAGAAATCAGGTACAGGTTCCATTAAGTAAACGATTCTTCAAATTATATGATGAGTTACTGCAAGGATTCATAAATAGAAAATTTTTTCATGCATTTAAAATGAAAAATTCATAAAATATCACTTCAGTCATGTGTTTTATGGAATATAAGCATGAAATATCTGCACTTTGACTATAAATTAAAAGCTTACAAAATATTACCTATGAAAGGTGACAGAATGAGCCAGCTGAAAATATGCCACTTTAACATAAGGGATACTTTGAATTGAAGGCACTTGCAAAACAGCTGATGCAAATAGGACATTCTAATCTTCCCCTTTGCTTCTGAAAACAAGATATTAAAAACTGTTATGAGGCCGGCGCCGTGGCTCAATAGGCTAATCCTCCACCTTGCGGCGCCGGCACACCGGGTTCTAGTCCCGGTCGGGGCGCCGGATTCTGTCCTGGTTGCCCCTCTTCCAGGCCAGCTCTCTGCTATGGCCAGGGAGTGCAGTGGAGGATGGCCCAGGTGCTTGGGCCCTGCACCCCATGGGAGACCAGGAAAAGCACCTGGCTCCTGGCTCCTGCCATCGGATCAGCGCGGTGCGCCGGCTGCAGCGGCGGCCATTGGAGGGTGAACCAACGGCAAAGGAAGACCTTTCTCTCTCTGTCTCTCTCTCTCACTGTCCACTCTGCCTGTCAAAAAAAAAAAAAAAAAACAAAAAAAAAAACCAAAAAAACTGTTATGGGCAAGTGCTAGTGGCCCGCACCCTTGTACTTAGGTCCTTGCTATTCATATGGAGACCTGGATAGAGTTCCTGGCTCCTTGCTTCCACCTGGCCCAGCCCCAGCCATTGTGGCCATTTTGGGGGGAGTGAACCAGCAGATGGGAAAGGAATTCTCCTCCCTGATCTAGAAGAAAAGAAACATTCTTTGATGGGGAGTCATGGCCTGGAGAATTCAGGAGAAACAGTCCTTACAGACCTTGCTAAAATAATTCTAATTTTCCTTCAACCTAACCACATAATTTACTTTTCCGCATTTATCTTTCTTTGTTCAACCTAATAAAGACTAGGTTGTTTTTATTATTTCTTTGGGGCTTTATTTCTTTGTGAGTGTTCCTGGGCCTTGTCAAACATATTAAATTTGTATGCTTTCCCCCTGTTAAACTGTTTTATGTCAATTTAATTTTTAGGCCCAGCTGGGACCCTGAACAGAAGAGCTAAAATTCTGCCCCTGCTACACTTACCAATATGATTTCCATCACACTTGTATTTTTAAATCTCAGTTCAGAAAACTGATGCCTACATATGTTTTATGCAATTTATCTATTAAACACTAATTCAGAACACAGCTACAAAGCATTCCAAAACTGATCTCTTTGGGAATCAATCAGATGAAAACATCTTTCAGTACTTGGTTGAAGTATGTTAGGTTTTGTATGAAACACACACACACACACACACACACACTTTGATAGCTTACATTACCTGTCATATTTAAAAGGAAAAATTTAAGCATAAAGTGATCCACTACAAAATTCATGATCAGTCTTGGTTGGATTCACTTGAGCAACCTATCTGTCATATTTTTGCTTCCAATTTTGAAATCCAATTATATCAGCAAAAAGATGAAAGATGACTTACCGGCCCAAAAGAATTACTGTCAAAACTGTGTCCATGATGATCACCTTCAACCCAGATGTGGCCACGGGGAACTCTGACATATCGGTTTTTATGTCCCATGGTTCTAGAAATAAACAAGAGCAGAGAAGAGCTCAAACAGCTGAGCATACAAACTCAGGACAAAAATGTTCTTGGTCACCATGATGGTGCTGTTTGGGAGATGGTAGAGTCTTTAGGAGGTGGGACCTAATGGGGGCAGGGTCCGTAGGTCATGAGGGAAGCACGCTTGGAAGATAGATCTTATGAGAAGGATATTATAAAAGCCTGGCTTTGGTCCCACCCACTGTTTCTCCACTTCCTGCTCATCACGTGATTTCCCCTCCCACAAGTGCTCTGCCATCTGCCACTGGGCCTTTGCCAGAATCTGCAACATGTTACTTGGACTTGCAGCTTTCAAAACCATGAGCTAAAAAAATCTCTCTTTCCTGAACAAGTAGACTAGCTCAGGTATTTCCATCACGTTATGGAAAGCATACTGATACAGGCCATAACAAAACAGATCTATTGGGGGGCGGGGGAAAACAAAAACAAAAACAAAACAAAAACAAACAAAAAAACAGACTATTTGCTTTCTGACATTTGCTTTATGTTAATAGTGTTTCCAGTTTACTCATAGACAGCTATAATCTTCATTTTTTAGATTAACTTTTCAAATTAGCAGACTGTACTTTTCATAGCCCTATATTACTCTAAAATTCAGCAAATATAGGAAAGAAAAGGGGTGAAAATAATTTGGATGATTTCTTGTCAGATACAAACACTAATACCAGCTGGAAATTTTTGATCAGCACCAAATTAGCCTTACAAATGAGAAATGTCTATCAAATTTGAATACAGATTAATGATATGCATTTAGTGGACCATTCTGTATCCTTAATGCTGGCAAGGAAATGGAGTAAGGAAAGGCTTTCTCATACAATGTTGGCGGCAAATTTTTGCCTGTATTTCCCTCTTACATCTTTTGGGCACAGTTTTAGCTCATGTGCTTTGACCTAGCTATTCTTTTTGTAGATACCCATTCCAAATAAATGATCAGAAATATGAGTAACATTAACAATTAGGGGTGTACAATCAGAAAAAAAAAAAGATCATTTGCTTCAATATACAACACAGATTTGATTAAACAAACTATAATGCAACCAATTAAAGATGCAAAGTTACAGTCAAATGTTATCCAAATCCAAAATAATAAATACTTTGGTGACGAGAGACTGCTCCGCACCCCCCCCCCCCCACCTTTTAATACTGAATCACTCAGGAAAATGCCTAGCCTAAAGATGTTTCTCAATAAATGTTGGCTACATGAATGGATGAATAAATATCAACCCCAAGGCTATAGAGTTCAGAAACTGAGCTTGGCACACTGTTGTTGGAGGCGAGTCCCTCTGAAACCACTTTTGTTAGTTATTTAGTAGTGTATGTACAGAAGAACACATTTAAGATAAAAGGAAAATACACATAAATTCATGCTATAGAGATTGAAACTCCTTATTCTCTACAATGGTTTTTATTTTTAAAGATGAATTTTTGTGTTGAGTTACTTTGCTTTAGATCAGCAAATCATTCAGGCAAGGAAGTTATGTTGTGGCCATTAGAAGCCCACAGTTAAGTTAATGAGTGCTGTTTATTTTTAATTACTACTGGAAAGAACATTTTCAGTTTTGTAGTAGAGAAAAGAAAAAGAAGTTGGACACACCTTAACATTATATATTCTGTAGTGTATACTGTTCTTCAATTAAGATCAGTCAATTCATCTTTGACATCACTATTGCATTTTATCATGAGATTACCTCCAAGAATATCCATTATTAAGCATTAATGACAGGAAGAAGGCCTTTTCACTTAATTGTTGGTGTGGCATACTCTTTGAATAAGTCCCAACATTTGTTCACCTTATTAAACTGAGTATTTTGGATAAGTACTTAGAAAACAATTAACTAATTTTGTCCCTTGAAATAATTATTAAAGAATTACAAGGAAAAACCAGCACAGAGTAATTTCTGCAATGAAGTGGTAGGTTTTAAGTCAAGCATGTTCTTCCAGAAGTATTGAAAACAAAGGTATAAAACTCGGTCTGTTTCAAGGTCATATAAAACAAGGAATCAAGATACTTGTGACATAAAATGACAGCATTATAAAAGTACTGGTGACAGTTGTATGTGGTTTCCTTGCTTTGTTCATCTTTTCTAAAAATTTAAGTACATCCTTTATCCAATTATTTTCTAGGCACTTACAAAGCTTTATTTTTCTTTACTGCACTTCTAACACTTGACATACATTTATGGGTTTATTTGTTTGTTGTCTCTCTTATCTCTCTCCCCTGAACTAGAATATAGCCTTTGAAGCTTTGTCTTTCTTGTTCACTGCAGCATCCCCAGAGCACAGAAGGATACACTGCACAAAGTGCTCCACAAATATTTGTGAAATAAATGAACAAATGAATGAATAACTGGAGAAGAAAAAATGTGACAAAGGCAGAATAATAGAGTGGAAAATTCCTAGATTTTGCATAGTGACTAAATAGTGTTATTTTATACTATTACTCAAAATTAATCTTTTGCAAGTCACTTAAAGTTGCTGTCTTTTGCTTATATTTATTTTTTTAAACATTTATTTATTTGAAAATCAGAGCTACACAGAAAGAGAAGGAGAGGCAGAGAGAGAGAGGTCTTCCATCCAATGGTTCACTCCCCAGATGGCCACAATGGCCGGAGCTGGGCCAGTCTGAAGCCAGGAGCCAGGAGCTTCTTTCAGGTCTTCCACATGGGTGTAGGGGCCCAAGGAGTTGGGGCATCTTCAACTGCTTTCCCAGGCCATAGCAGAGAGCTGGATTGGAAGTGGAGCAGCCAGGACTCGAACCGGTGCCCATTTGGGATGCCTGTGCTTCAGGCGGCAGCTTTACCCACTATGCCACAGCGCTGGACCCAATTGCTTATATTTAAAACTAATAAGATATGCTTTAAATTGAAATGTGCTTTAAGTTAGAAGAAGGTACTATAATGGAGGGGTTGCTATACAGCACAATCTCTGGAGTCAGCTTATCTTGGTTTTTATATCTGAATTAAAGTTGTGCAGTTTATATAATCTTGGGCAAGATAATTCAATGGATAAAAATGGCATATTTTAAATACTCGGTAAATGTATTCTCTGGCACTTGTTTCTAAATTAAATTTAAAATTTTTTTTTATTTGAGAGACAAAGAGAGATGGATAGACAGACAGAAGTAATTCCCATCCATTGGTTCACTCCCCAAATGCCTGCAACAGTCAAGGCTGGGCCATCCAAAATCAGTAGCCTAGAACTCAGTCAGGTTTCCTCCTTGAGTGGTAAGGACCCAAATAATTGAGCCATCATCTGCTCCTTCCCAGGGTGCATATTAGCAGGAAGCTGGAATTGGGAGCAGAGGCAAGACTCAAACTCAAGCACTGTGATACGTGATGTAGGCATCACAAAACTGTGTCTTAATCGCTAGGCCAAATGCCAACCCTAGAAACCATTTTTCTTAAAAGACTTATTTACTTATTTATTTGAAAGTCAGAGTTACACAGAGAGAGGAGAGGCAGAGAGAGAGAGAGAGGTCTTCCATCTAATGATTCACTCCCCAATTGGCCGCAATGGCTGGAGCTGCGCCGATCTGAAGCCAGGAGCCAGGAGCTTCCTCTGGGTCTCCCAGGCAGATGCAGGGGCCCATGGACTTGAGCCATCCTCTACTGCTTTCCCAGACCACAGTAGAGAGTTGGATCGGAAGTGGAGCAGTCGAGACTGGAACTGGTGCCCATGTGGGATGCGGGCCCTTCAGGCATTAACCCGCTGCGCCACAGTGCCGGCCCCCTCAGAAACTATTTTTAAGTAGAGCACTGAATATAGTTCTAATGTTGTTAGAACTCAGTTAGTGCTAGTTATTACTGTTATGGTCTTGCTTTGTCCAGTATTTTCTTTCATTTTATAATTCAGAATATGTTCAGCCTCTGCTATCTATTAGCATCAGTCTCTTAAAATTACCTGAACTATGCTTCAGTAATTTCCTTTCCCCACAATTGCACTGTGACTGTAGACTATCTTTAATGGTGCAATGAATTTTTTTTTTTTTTTTATTCTTGTGCCCTTCTGGGACACTCTTAAACTTACATGTGAAAGTACAACCTATCTATTTCGGCATATTCAAGTATTCAGAGAGTAGTAGGTGGAAGCATAATCTATTAGTGTTTTTTCCCACTAGTATCTTACATAATTGAATGTTGCTCTGCTAATACACAATGATTTCCTTAGATATCAGATAACTCTGGGTGGGGGAAGGGGACTCTTGAGCTACAGAACTCTAATAAAATTCATGCCATATCCACACTACATATTCTATTTCTCAGGTTTAAAAATCTAACTTTTCAAGGAATAACCAAAAGCAGTTTTTAAAAATGTGATGTTAAAATATTGGGCTGGTTCCTTTTAGGAATGCCAAAGAAATATAATACCCTAATAGAATTTCTCAAGGGAAGGAATTTTAAATAGCTTTGTGCTCTTGAATTCACATAAAAGAAAGACAAGATAATCTTTCAGGTGATTTAACAGTTAAGTGAGGTGTCAGCCTACAAGGTTGTATGTATCTATGGCTTGCAAATAATCTTGGTTTTGACAGTCAAAAATGAGTTCTGTGTGGTATTCTAACTACCTGTCTAGAAAAGGACATTTTTAGTGCTAGCTTTACCAAGACAAGTTACATAGGTCTTCTAAATGGAATGAAGAATAATTGCCCCCAATTTAATTTGACCTTGAAAACAATGTTTTTGAAGTCCCTGAATCTTTGAGTGTCATCAGTTGAATACAAAAGTACTGACTGTAATTCTTAATACCAAAAAAAAAGAACAAATCCTTATTAAAACTATTCTCCTAAATACACACATGCATACGTACACATTCTTAACTTACGTAATTTATATGAAAACTTTATAATGGATTGAAATTACTCTTATTATTTCTTTATTTTTCAAGCCATTCTACTGGTTTTTCTTACTGTTCAAAGTAATGGCTGTCCAGAGGCTTTTTTTTTTTTTTAATTGTCATTTTGTC